TGTTAGTAAAGTCTGGTGTCTCTTAATCAGCCACAACCCCATTGAGGGATTTTCCTTTTCGTACTATTTTCTTTTCAGGTCTAAACAAAGATGTGAAGAATTTCCAGCCCTGACATCATCATGGTCAAAGTAAAATCATGTGCATCATCATGTCAGATAATCCAGAACAACTGAAAAAAATGTGTCCTGCTTTATACAGTCTTATAAACAGTGGCCGTGTCTACATGAGCGGCAGACTTTGCAGTTGTTACTGTGCAGTCACTTAGTACTTGCATAAGCAGTCACCTACATAGTTAAGACTCACCCAGTCTCTCACTATGGCTCATCTCATGTACTGCAACATTCTCTCTATTCTTGATAACTAGACTCCTGATCCACTCATATCCCTCCAGAAGGGTGTTGCAAAAATCATTTCCCTTATTCTCACTTTGACCATTCTGCAACCCTCTACTGGCTCTCTTTTCTCTAGCACAGCAAATATAAACTACTTCTCTGCACTTTTAAAACCTATTCAATGTAGAAGAGCACATACAAGACATTCATTTATCTCTTGTTAATCATAGGAATCATAGGCCACATCTACACAAGACACTGGCTGTGCAGTAGCCCAAGACTACTGCGCAGTCAGGGGTCACAAAAAAAGCCATTTGTCAGCACTATTGCACAGTAGCATGGATTAATGTGCAGTCATTTAGTACTTGTATTACCTGTTCACAGGTGCTTGCAGAATCAGACCCTAAAAAATTGAAACTGCTACCCCATTAGGTAACATATAATTATTACTTTTTTATTACACTATTTTCTTCTCCAGCTGAATGGCCTGTGAAATACATTACCATTTGCATCTTAAGAGCAATATATTTAGGCAAAGTAACACATTTTTTCCTTCAAAACTATGAATATGACATTTTCCTTCCCCTACCCGGAAGTCAAACAGGGGCCCTAAAAACAAGAGCAAAAAAGCCCAACCACTTCTTTATGCTAGTTTAAGCAGACATGCTGTAGATGGGTGTGCCATTTTTCTGATCTGGGAGTGGTTCTCTGTACTTCCTTGCAGAAACAGCAGAGGGTGAAAAAATGACAATGGACTCCCTCACTGCCATAAAATAAATCATTGTCTGTTATCACTGGCTTCATCCTAAATCATTAAGATTTACTGTGCTGACCAAAACCTTTATTCCACAATTCTGACTTAAAAATGAAAAACCTGAGATATGTTTCCCAGATAATTTTTCTATATCATGTCCCAAGGGAAACAAAAGTTAAATGGTATTTTAATTGTAAAATTAATATGTCTTGATATTGAATGACTTACTGTTAATATTTACCATTTAATAACATAGCCTTCTAATAATAAAATTTAGTTGCATTACAGCCTATGTTAATAATGCCAAGTGTTTATGTCCTAAAACTATGCAATTATATTATAAATAATAACAATTGATTTAATCATACTTAGATACAGCTTCTGTTAATAATACCAAGTGTTTATGTCATAAAAGTATGTAATTACATTAGTAATAATAGCAATCGATTTAATAATACTTAGAGTGTTGTTTTAATAACTGTATCCATATATTTTTCATCAGGAAAGAATATTGGCAATTCCTCTCCAAAACACCCCTTCCCGCAAGAAAAAAAAAGAAGCACACAAAAAAGAAGAAAAAGGAGAAGAGAGAAATGAAGGTGTTGTGTGTGTTCCCCTGGGTTTCCTGCAGTGTAACTAATGTTTCCTTCCTGTAAGAGAAAATGGTGTCGGTGTGTTTAATAAAGGAAGGTGCAGGGGAGGAAAAAAAAGGCATGTCAGAAGTGGGATTTGAACCCACGCCTCCACACGGAGACCAGAACACCCAGGAGAGGGAAGACAGAGCCTTGAGTCTGGCGCCTTAGACCACTCGGCCATCCTGACATGTACGTAGCACATCTCACCCTAGACATACTTCTGTTCTGGTTGAAAAGTTGTAAATGTCTTCTGTTGTTCTGGTCCAGCTCTAGCCCCGATCCCTGTGTGTTTGAACTGAAAAGGAAGGCAAACTGCACAGACAAGCCAGCAGGCTGCTGCCACTGCACTGAGGAGCAACCCAGCAGAGTTGGCTCAGACACACACTGCCACCTACCTGGGGCTCTGGGCTGCGCCGCCCGGCCTTGGTGTTCAAATGATGTGCCTGCAGGCAAGGAGCGCTAGGCTCCAAATCAGGGCATGAAGGAAAAGGCAGCAGCATTCAGTGGGAGAGCGCTGCCTTCCCGGCTTGGTGCTCCGGCAAGCCTGCTGGATACCTTGGTAATTAATCCTAGAAGGACTCCAAGTGGTCAGCTCTTGTAATAGCCCCCTAACTCCTAGAGGCATGTGATTATGAGAATTGGTTACTTTTTTAAAGAGGAATTTCTATCTTAATGGCAGAGAAAAATTTAAAAATATGACTGAAGTATAGCTCATTTTCTCAGGAACCAAAAAGCTAAAGAAATACACACACACACACACACACACACACACACACACACTGCATATGTCTGCAAGCTGGTGTGTGTGTGTGTGTGTGTGTGTATGTCTATATCTATATGCAGATATCTGAAAGGTGGTGTATATATAGAGCTATAGAGTAGGGGTATGTGTGAGCATTTACATGTGTTCATTTACTGCACAGTAACCAAAATTACTGCATAGCAGAGACACACATCTACACGTGCATATCCAGACTGCACAGTAAATATGGTGACTTATGCCAACTTGAGTGTAAATTTGATACCTGCATTATGCAGGTATCAAATTTACGCCTGATTAGTTACTGCACAGTAACACAAATGTAGAAACCTTACTGTGCAGTAACACTGTATACGTAGACTGACTTGGGACTAACTTTCAGCCCCAAATCAGTCCACACACAGCGTTAATGTGTTGTAACACCTGCTGGGCAGTAACTTACTGGGCAGTAAATTTAAGCCAGCATAAATGCACATGTAGACACTCCCAGTGTGTATGAGAATGTGTGTGTATTCACGTGTGTATACATACACAGACACACACTATAAAAAAAAATCTTATGCCAAACTGATGTCTATGGAGGATTTACTGGGGTGTAGAGGAAGCTGGAATATTCTTCTTTCACCCTTTTTCATGTTTTTTTCTTTCTAGGCCTTTGAAGACTTGTGTGCGGTGACACTGCATGTCTTTCTGTCCTCAGAGAGAAGCTAAAATAGTTTATAATCTTTAAGGACAAGGTCACAGGTCCACCTGAGTTTAGCATCTCATGCTGGCATAAGGGAAAGTGTGGTCATTTCTTAAATGCTCAGAAATTAGATTACCGCTATATGAGAAAGAAGGAAATACCTTACAGGAAAGTGGTCATAGCATTGTGAACTCCTTAACATTTTTTGAGGGATCTCATGATTGCTAGAAATTTATTTAGAGCCGAGTGGCTAGAATGCAGTGACTGAAAAATCTCAGCTTGATTTAAAAAACCTCTTAGTCCTTGGAGTTACACAGAAAAGTTTTAAAAGGTGAGGCCTAAAGTTAGACAAACACACACACACACACACACACACACAAACACACAAAATGACATTTCTTTTTGGAAAAACAACTAGAGATTTTTAAGCTGGTCTCTTGAGTTTGGGGGTGGGGCCCAATTTATTACAACTTCAAGCCCTTTTAATTGATAATACTGGAATCGGCAGTTCCAGTGTGCCTAGGTATGACCACACATTAGGAATGGGGCTGCTTCTCTCAGACCTGGCATGCTAATTATAGGCAGTAGCAACAGGGGCTGGTTTTGCAGCATCCTTTAGCTATTGCTCAGAGATTAGCTCTAAATCTATGTTGGCATTTGATTAATACCCTGCTTGGATAGGAAGGACCCCACACACATACATACACACAGGATTATTATTTGTGTACCAACTCTCTGAACACTGACACTGAGTCACAAACTTTTTTTTTTACAGCAAAAGCTGTGTTAACCGGTACTTTGTTAGCTGGAAAACTCTATTAACTGGCATCCGAGAGATGCGGCAAAAGTGAAACTGGAAGTACCACTTCCGGGTTTCGCTGCTGCTGTGAGCAGAGTCCTTGCCACTTCTTCAGCCCACAGCCCGGGGCAAAGCAGCCTGCGCAGGGCCCCCGTCCCTGTCCCACAGCACACTGACGCTGGGGAGTGCACCAGACGGTGCGCATTTGATTAACCAGAATATTTGATTAACCAGCATCCCCCATTCCTGGGGGATGCCGGGTAACAGAGCTTTTACTGTATTTAAGAGTGAGAGATAAATGCAAATAACATTAATTCTGACATTAAAAGGGGAGGAATTTTTAATAAAATACGGCTGTTTGTTATATTTTTCTCTCAGTTCTGGTCTTCCCCATTTCCGCCAAGGGTATAGGTTTTAGTCATGTTGGTCTAAGGACATAGGCAGACAAGGTTCTTTGGGTAAATCTGGTATCTTTTATTAGACCAACTCAACTATTTGAGTTGGTCTAATAAAAGATACCAGATTTACCCAAAGAACTTGGTCTGTTATTTAGGCTGAGAGACTTGTTAAGGGTCTCAAACAGACTGGGAGCTTTTCTACCTTGATTTGATAGGGTCAGGGTGCTGAATTTTTCACAATAATGTCTTGGTACCAGTCATTTCTCAGGTGGTTGAGTCAAAGGTGAGGAGGAAACTGGTACCAGCTGCCCAAAAAGACTTGAACTGGAAGACAATAGGGAAACTGAGTTGGAGAAACAAACCTATCCATCTAACACACCCCAGTCTGTGGCTGACATGTTACCGCTGCCTCTGTCTCATAGAGGAGCATAGCCCATGGTTACCCATTATGAGGTGCAAGGGTCTGCACAGCCATCATCACAGTGGGTCTGATTGGGCATTGTTCCAGCCAGCCAATCACTGGCCTCAAAGCCAGTTCCCTCATTTGAATGCCTGCCACTATATATATGCAGAGCTGGGGGAAGGACAGTGGCATTTGCAGACAAGGGGTTAAGCAGAGCAGAGCAGGACTGAGCAATGGCTGCTGCCCAGAGAGGAAGGAAGAAGACCCAGAACCAGCGGAGACGGAAATCCTATGGGAGGAGGCACCAGACCAAACAGGGGAAGTCCCAGCACAAGCAAAGGAGCCAGACAAGACGAAAGCCAGCACTGAAGCAGGAGAGGAGCAGCCATGGGAAGCAGAGCTCCTCCAAGGAGTATGACTCCAACAAGGTGCTAAAACAGCTGAAACGAGATAACAAGCTCTTATCAAACAAAGCCAAAGGGCTGATGATCAGCTTTGTGAATGACATCTACAAAAGAGTGTCCATGGAGGCCGAACGCTTGAGGAAGCAGACTCGTCGCCCTACCATTGGCCCCACACAGATGCAAGCTGCTCTGTGGGAAGTAATGCCAAAGAAACGGGTCAGGCACTCAGCTGCCCCTGTCTCTAGGAGGTCTTATTAAAGAACCATCCCTCCCCTTCCCCCAGACCTCAGCCTGGCTGGGGTGAAAGCAAGAACAAGAGGGGAGAAGGGAGAGGAGCACAAAGTAGCTAGATAGACCTCTTCACCCACCTGCTTCAAGACCTGAAACTGCCTTAAAGATGACAATTATAAAGTCTACATGCTGCCCCTTTGGTGAGGGGCCTGCCTTGAAAACAGCTATTCTTCACAAAAGCGATTCCACCATGGGAGGGACTTGGATCAGGGTCTCTCACCATAAAAGAGAAACTATCGAGACTGATTAAAAATCTGTGAATAAATGGACTGAACAGATTGTGAGGTGCTTTCCTGATGGAAATGAAAGTCATCTTGGCATTCTAATAAAATAGAATTTTGGCTGCATTTTGTCAGTGTTATGTGTTTTCTTTAAATTAGGGAATAACAAGGGGTATGGAGAATCAGAATTTAATATGGAGTTTGTGAGTTTTCGAGGATCTCGTATTTGGGATGCAAAGGCCTTCCCAGAAATAATCCTCCCCTTTCAGTTGGAATTGAAAGGATACACACACATTCATGCACAGATGTTAAATAATTCAACTACTGTGCAGGCAAATCCAGTACATATATAAATAGTCACTGTTTTCTGCTCTGTCTAGTCAAATAACCCAGGAATTAAGTTCAGTTACAAATTGAGGGCAAAAGGCCATGATGGTTCCCTTTTATTTATCTTGGTTGCTTCCTTCCAGTATTACCTTACCATTGCCAATACGGATCTGTAGCCAATTGGCTTTCACATACAATCCAACCTGCTCAATAAGGGCCAGGTCTCTACCCACCCTGAAGTCTTCACTAGGGTAAATAAGCCTATGAAACCTTGGCTGCCATGCTGATGATGCTCTGATGATGCTCTGAAAAGAATAACAGGCTTTCCACCATCAGTGCAGCAGTAATACAGGGAGCATCTCATAAAGGTCTCCCTATAAAATGAAACTAAAGAACCAGTCAGAAAAAATAGCAGGGTTGGCACGTAGGGTTGACAAACCTCCCGAATTGGCCAGAGACAACCCTACTGGAATTGGCATAGATCTCCCTGTGACTATTATTAAAGCAATCTGGGAGATGGATATTGTGAATGGGTTGAGCAGTACAATTAATAACATTATGTCCCATTGGAAAAAAAGTCTCCCAGAATATCTTCAGTCCGACTTGGCAACCCTATTGTCACAGCCAATATTCTGAATGCAAAAAAATCCAATGGGAATCAGCAAACTTCATAGGCCTAGATGTCCTTCATCCATTGTGAAGAAGTCAAAAGAGAGTAACACACCAAAGGGCACAAACACAAATACATTTTTTTCACGTACCCATTACTTTCTCCAGAAGAAAGAGGTTATAAGCACCTATTCACCTGCAGTTAAACCCTTTTCACTCCATTTTGAATGCTGTGATAAAGCAGTCACTAATCGCAGGAACAGATTTCCTACCGTTTACACATCTAAGTCTGTATCTGTGTAGGATCTTATCCCCAGCCCATCAAAGACATAAAACCACTTGCAGGCCTGTGCTGAGCAAGCTGTATCCCTTGTCTAGATATATACAGGATTTTTCCCGCTGAAGAAGGGTGGCTAGGTCCCTGAACCAATTGTCAGAGAGTTGGTTAATACCCAGACCTGTCAGCAAAATCACAGCACCTCACCATGAACAAACCTTGCTTGTAGAAAGATTGTCTATCAAACACTTTGGGCATTGCTTCATTCTGCGTGTTGTCCTAGCATATTAAGGCCATTGGGAAGATGCACAACAGCACTAAATCAGTCATTCCTTGAACAATCTGGCTTCTTAGGGCATGTCTAGCCTATCAAAGAACCACTACAAGGAGTACAGGGAACTGCGCCCCACTCATACCACACCCTGAAATGGGTATAGCATAGGCGCTTTAGCATGGTATTAGGCATGTGTCAGTGAGTTGTCCTGATACAGCCACTACTAAGGCAGCTATATTACATCCATTTCAGAGTATAGCATTTGCAGAACAAGTGTGCTATGCTTCACCTGCTAGCATGGTCTTTTGTGAGCGTATGCCTGTCTCCACTCAGCTATCAACCTTTTTCAGGTGCAGCTCAAGGTTATTTCTGCTTCCTCAGGCCCCTCAGATGCTTGGTTATTAAGTTACAGATAGGTCCAACTACCCTACAGGTGATGAAGGTTCAGATTCAGTGGTCCTTACTCCCCAGTTTTGACCAACTGATTTCAACACAAACCTTCTTGGAGCAAAATGCAGTTCCAGATATTTTGATTTTGGCTGTGACACTGAGCACCTGCTTTAGCCCAACATTTTGAGGATGTTATAGTGAAGAGACAAAAAAAATTCAAGTGATCTTGTTGTTTATCCTCTCAGCCTCTTTCTCAATTCAGTAACATCAGAAATTGATGAAAATTATTCACATTTGATTCTGTGGGGCCTCCTCTCAAATATAAGTTCTCTAATTTTACTGAAGTAAATATAAGTATATCTAATATAAGTATATATAGTATAAGTTCTCTAATTTTACTAAAAGCATCACTAACTTTTTAGTTTTCCAAGAATACAGGCGAGTAATTTTTTCACAAAAGTAATGCAAGAGCTCCCATGGCATCACTTATACTTAAAAATTACTCAGGTGTATTTTTACTTGCAGTATTGGGGCTTAAACATGTGAAATGACCTTACATCTTTAGAGCTGAGCATACATTTATTAAGGCATTTGATACGATGTTATGTAGGTACCAACCATCAGTATCATCTTCATCATTGATACTTATTAAAAGTAAAATTACTGTGTATAATGAATTTAAAGTAATAGTGTAATAATAAACAAAAAATGATGGGGACTTCTGTGGGTGGATCTAGTATTTTGAGAGGGGATTAGGAGGTGGGGGCTAGGGTTAGGGTTGGGGGGAGGTGACATGATGCATCATCACCTACAACACAAATTTTCCTCCTGTTAAACCAGAAGCTTTACTAGGGGGCTAACCCTATATTGTTAAAAGCAAAAATAAATCTAAGTATTGGGATGTGAATTAATTTGCCAGATTATATAGTCAATTTTAAAAATACAGCAAACTAGGCAACAACAGTCAAAAGATATTGTGTCAATTGATTTAAATTTGGGTGGAGCAAGAATCAAAGGTGGAGGGATGCTACTGCACCTCCTGCCTCCCCATCAGCCCCCAGGGACTTCTAAGATATTAAAGTTGCAAAGTTTTGAAGCTTGCAAAAAAATAACTCTTCCAAATATGTGAGCTGGTCTAATAAAAAATATCAGATTTACACAAAGAACCTCAGCCTATGAAACTAATTAACTCCTAAGCACCGTATACAAGCCATTGCTTACTGCACACAGCCCCGCCCCCTCCTCCCCCCTTGATCTAAATTACAGTTGTTTGCATCTTTGCCACGGGTTGGGGGATTACTATATCTTCCTGAAAAGAATAGCGCAACGTTGACGCCAATACCGAGTATAATGCCCAACAGGAAAAAAGCAACGTTTTCGTATTTAAAGCCTACCCGCTTGAGCGGGGAAGGAAAAAGCCCTTCCCTGACCGGGAATCGAACCCGGGCCGCGGCGGTGAGAGCGCCGAATCCTAACCACTAGACCACCAGGGAGCCTGCTGCCCGCTGCACGGAGCAGCCTCAACACGCGGCTGCCAGCGCTCGGCTCGCTGCCTGCTTAAAAGAAGAAATGCAAGGAGAGGACTGCACGAACTTCCAGTGCAGAGACCACTGCGAGCGGGGCTCCCCAGCCGAGGCTTCCCTGCCCTCTACTGGTTAAGAAATGTCTGCTACTCATCTAATGCTAGAGAGCAACAGAGCTCCCCCCCCATCTCCACTTCTTTTAAGCTGGGCTAACATGAGAACAATTTCCACGGGGCTGGGGACAGCCCGCAGGCGGCCGCCGAGCCTCCAGCGAGCACCCGCTGGCGTGGGAGGAGTGCGGGGGGGGGGAGATGGCCGTGTCTCTCCGCCCGCTGCGGGGTCCCGGGGCTGCCGGCAGAGCGCCCCTCCACGCACGCTGGGCGGAGGGAGAGGGGGCACAAAAATAATGTGTCAGAAGTGGGATTTGAACCCACGCCTCCATACGGAGACCAGAACACCCCAGGGGAAGGCCGTGCCTTGAGTCTGGCGCCTTAGACCACTCGGCCATCCTGACACACACCAGCGTAGCGCGGCCGGCCCCCATGGCTGCAGCGGGGCTGGGGCGCCGGCACACGGAGAGCCCAAGGCGGGAGGCAGGAGCTGCGCCCCGGCCCAGCGCAAGCGGAGCGGCACCTCTACCCCTTTTGCTGCTGTTTACACGAGCCAGCCCCACGGCCCCCCAGAGCAGCCCCAGGCCCAGGCCCCTCCGCAGCTCTGATTGGTGGCTTTTGACATCATGCTAGCTCATCCAACTGCGTGCGCCCTGAGGCAGCGTCCCGCCCCACTCCTGCTGCGGGTAGGGGAGCAGGATCCAGGAGGAGCAGGAGGGG